ACTGCTGTCCCATGGACAACTTGTATTAGTTACATTTCCATCAGGATCTGCTCACTCCTTGGTTGTATGCTAATTGTAATTAGCATATCACTATACATACAAACTTACATGGTAGTTAACAATAATTGTGTAATTATTATATAATTGGAAATGCTTGCCTATTTAGAGGCACACATAGAGCTGGATTCCTGATGAAATTTTGAAAACCACCAGTGAATGACAGATGATTATCTGGTTGATTTTAACGGGAACTAAGTGTCTGTATCACTTTGGTTTGTGGAATATTATGGTAGGCAGCTCTCTGTCTTTACTAGCCTCAAAAACATGATCTTGGGATAAATTCTGGACATGTTAATTAAAACATTTAAAAAATTAAATTCTGATTTCAAGTTAGTAATTTAAATTAGCCAGTTATGGAATGAGGTATGTATATACAGTCAATTTTGCCTTTTATGAGGATGTGAACATGGAATGAACTGGGTCCTGTGGAAAAATATAGCATGTGTCCTAATATGGTGTAAGACATTATTGATACAAAATTAAGGTTGCATGAGCATCTCCAGATTTAAGTAGTTCTGTCTGTTAAATCTTGGTTTAATTTAGAATAATGCATAATATTGCTATTTTGGATGTAGCTTTCTAGGACTTCTTTTTAAAGAAAGTTTGTAGAGAGAAGTTATTGTAGAATTCAAACTGTTCTCTCTACCTTGTCGTGAGAGTTACAGTGCCTTACTTTTTACCTGTGAAAAATTATTCGACATTTAAGTGTGTTAGAAGCGGTAGTTAGCAGGGAAAAATGCAGAATCTAGTCTTTGCTACTTTAAGGGAGGAAATCATAAGAAAAGTGGGGAGTTATAGCTGGACTCTGTTTTAGGTGGTGTATGGGGAGCCTGCCTGCTGACTTTTAAGGTCAAAGTACCATGGATTTAACAGCTCAAGAGCTGCAAAACTAAGTGCAGCAAACATGTTCTAGGAATAGGGTTGTCCTTTGTTAGTCTGGAAATGTCAGCTTGACCTTAGAATAATTTTGTTTTATTGTAAACACATGTCTGCAAACTTATTCCTGAGAAATGTAAATAAAAGTATGAAACAAGTTTTTTTACCACTGGCTATCAGCACAAAAGCTGAATATGTTTGTCCATTGAAGAATTTCCCAGTGTAAGGGATATTTGTCCTGCACTATATCAAATGTCTCACCCTCTCTCTGCCCTTACCCTGCACCATTGCCCCACCTCCCCTCCCCTCTTCACCCCCTTCTCCCTCTCAGAAAAACACCAGGAAAAAACTATGCCCTCCAAAAGATGGGCACCTAGTAGGAAGACCGCAGTAATAAAGATATAAAAGTATGACAATGCTTATATTTTTTCCTGAATGTCTGCCAAGAATGGAATGACCACAGATACTGTGATAAAATAATAGCTTTTAAAAAAAGGAAAACTTTTCTCAAGTGAAACAACGTTTGTTCTTCTTTTTTAAAAAGTCTTTAAAATATTGTAATGATTGTCATTTTACGAAGTATAAGACAGAAGTGAATCTGAAGTATTGTATTTATTTTGAGAATACTATCTCAAGTTATTAATTTATAGTTGAAACTGCTTGCAAAGATGGTATTTTTAGATGATCTGAAGGTTATGTTATTAAATAATACTGATATGTGATTGTTTCTTCACATGTTCTACCTCACTGTTTGTCTGTTCATATGTAGGCTTATTTCCATACTCTTTTAATAGACTTTACACCTTTTGGAGACAGCAGGTTATTTGGAATTCTGTTTTACAGTTAGGTGGGAGGAGGGAGTGGAATTCAAGAGTACTTTGGAATTTATTTGTGATAACACTTTACTATTGTTTCTTCCTTTGCCCCACTTGTAAGTTATTAATTTTTATTATATTTACTTATTTTTATTTAATATATTAATGCAATATTAACACAGGAAAATAGAACAAAAGTCAGAATTTTAAAAATGGCTCATTTTATCTGTGCAGCTACTGTTGTTGTGTTTACTGGTTTATACACCTAGAATGGCAAAAAGGGTTTTGCTGTTAGACCATATTCATTATGCATTTAAATCAGTGCTGGAAAGTAGGATTTTGTCTTTAGAGCCCATCTATTATACGGTTAAATTAATGCTGCACTGTGAGAGTGAAGTTAAGAATTTACTGACCTGTTTGCTTTACATTTTGATTTTATGTTTTACATGAATCTGTCTTTCTGCATTTGATAGCTACATAAATAAAAAGGTTGCATGTATATGACATTAAATTTTTTTGTTCAAATTACCGTAACAAGTCACTTGAAATTTTATTTAGTTATGTGATTTAAAGCACTCAGTGGAATCTTACATGTCATTTTGCATACACAGTTTGTGGTCATGGCATATTTTTCCTGCGTTGATACTAAAATGTGGGCTAAGCTAGATTTGTTGTTTTTTTTATCATTAATGAGATACCTAGTCAATACTTAATGCTTCAAATGCACATTCTTCAAGCTAGAAGCCACTATTACATTCATGTTGTTGAAGGATTTTAAGGTACTCTTTGGCTGAATTTGGAAAGCATTGACATTTTGAATGGATACATGGTATTTTTTTTGCCAGTTGTTCACAGAGAAATATAAGTGGAGGTTAGCAATTTGGAAATAAGGACATGTAAATTCCAGTAGCAGGTCACATTAGTGATACACGCAGGTGATTGTTTCTAGCAGTTGTCAGTGGCAGAAGCTTTAGAGAAAAACGTATGAAGCTTTGGCTGAGCTCTAGAAAATTTTTCCTGCAAAAGTACAGCTGTATCCTAATCCTGTCTTTTGGAATCTGGTCATGCCTTGGGGCAAAAATGTTAGTTTACCATTACAACATTAAAGAAAAATCCCTCCTGTTACTGGTAACCTTTGATATTCTTGTGATTCATGCAGATGTCCTGTTTTTCACTTTGGAAATAAATTAGCGTATCCTATGTTCTGTTAAGTAAGGTGGTAAGCTACATGCAATTGATTATCTGAAGAGGAAGCATTTCTTCCTCTTAAGCTTGTTGCCTTTAAATTTCATGATGAATTTACAAGTAAAAGTAAATAGAAGTTCCCCATCTATCCTGTTAGTTTTGTATATTGTTGTCATGTTTCTTCATAGTAGTGTTTTGTGTAGAGTCCCAGATTTTTTAGAATTTTTTGCAGGCCTCTGATTACTGATATCTCTTTCTCTGAATACCCACTATTTCTGCTCTATCCTTTTTTTAGATAGGGGGACCAGAACTGAATACAGTTTTTCAGGTGAGGGCAAACCATTTATTAATGTAATGACATTTTATTTCTGGTGTTATTTTCCATCATATTCTTCATGCATCCTGATATTTGTTTCCTTTTTGACCACCACTGCAAACCAACTAGTAACACACCTATGGGTGGGAGGGAAAGTGGCTTTTGTATGTGAATAAAGCACTTAAAAGGCATGTATACTTGTGTACTGAGAATGGAAGCTGTAAGGTATGTGACACAAGCTGTAAGGATACCATTTGAAAGCAAGGCTTAACTGGAATTTGTTTTCAGAGACTTTTAAATGGACAGTTTGTTGGAGATATTTAATCCTGCCAAAATGAGATTGGGGGAGTACGTTTTCTTTTAAAACCCTAAACTACCCAGAAAGCTGCTACCGGTCATGTTTTTATCTTACGTTTTCCCCTTTTTTAAACCACTGGTGATAGAAATAAAAGACTATTAATTTTCCAGTTTGGTGCAGTGATGTGTTATGTAATCGAAAGTAAGACAAACTGATTTAAAACTTCACGCACTGTATTACTTCAAGATAAGTATGTTTGTCATGCTGTAGTTCTGATTTTTTTTTTTTTTCTTCCCAGTTTCTTTTCATTCACCTGATATCTGAATTTTCATGAACTTTCTTTTAATAGGCTGAGAGAGCAAGGAAGAAAAGAAGCAGAAGAAGCTAGTCAGAAAGAAATAGAAGAATGGGAAAAGTCACTTTTGGCTCAAGCAGGACCTACAAGGATGGAGACAATGTGGGAGATTCCAGCTATTGGTCATTTTCTTTGTTTAGCACAACAGATTTTAAATTTACCTGAAATAGTATTCTATGAATTGGAACGTTGTCTTCTGATGCCTCAGTGTAATTCTTTTTTATCTAAAATAATGACTTCTTTGTTAAGTCCTCCTCATCGCAGATCTACACTCCATCGCAGGCCTACACTTTCTTACAGCACCTGGGAAGCAGCACTCAGACAGAAAGTGCAACACTGGTATACAGTTGTAGGGCAGAGTGACAATCCTAATAGCTCTGCAGAAAAACTTGGATTGTGTCCCCAGTTTTTCAAAGTCCTTGGGGAAGTTAACCCGCTGGAGGAAAAACCATTTCATGAACTACCATTCTACCAAAAAGTGTGGCTGCTAAAAGGTCTCTGTGATTTTGTGTATGAAACACAAAAGGATGTTCAGGATGCAGTGCTAGCTCAGCCCATCCATGAATGCAGAGAAGTGATTCTTGGTTATGACTACTTGGAGAACGCCTATGTTCATTTTCCACAGTTCTGTGGTGCAGATGTTCGGATTTACAAACAAAAACCTTTTCAGGCTCCTCAATTCCCTTCTCCTCCCATCAAAGTTAAGAAAGTGCCACGTATTAAATTGGAGAAAGTAAAACATGATTATCTAAGAAAAAGCAATGAGGAGGTCAGTTCTGGTGGTAGAGAAAAGCTGCTACGTAATTCTGAGACAGGAGTAGAGAAAAGTATTGACTCCATCGTTACCTGTCCAGAAAAAAAAACACAAATAAGTAGCTCTGGAGTGACTACAGGGGAGATTAACTGTGAAATCAAGACCTCAAGAGTCTCTGAGATTGAAAAAACTAATTCCTATAAAGACAACTTGAGGAATTTGATTAGTTCAGGAGAAATTATTGGTATGGGTGGTCACCTTAGTTCAAGAGAAATAAGGGCTGTGGAGAATGGACAGGGTTGTCTGGAAACGGTCAGTGTAAAAGCTGAGATCAGTCCATTTGAGGAGAACACACTGAAAACTTTCCAAATGCATGTCAATGGCACTCGTCATGACAAGCAAGACATAAATTGCCACAAATCTACTAAAGAAACAATGCTAGAGAACTCACTGAGAAATAATAAGAAACTAAATAAGTTGCGGGCAAAAAAGAAGAAAAAGAAAAAAAAGAAGGATATACTAAATGAAAATCTACAGAGAAAACTTGATGTCTTGCAAAGAAAGCGTGAGATTCATCTTCATCCATTCAAATCTTACAAATCTGAGATCCAGAACAAGTTGTTCATAATTAAAAAGAAAGCAAAACACAAGAAGCACAAGTCTGGTAAGTTGACACTTTTAGCTGTAGTAAAAATTAGAAGGATACTGATTTATTTTTTTTCCCCAAATAGTTTTCTTAGTTGATTACAATTTATTTTGTGAAACGGGACAGTCTTTCTGCATTAGACTCTTCTGATGTTAATTTTAGTGTGAATTTTAGTTAAATAGTGCACATATAAAATAGACATACCAGCTGATTAAACCGTGATTCATTTGCAGAATCTGTCTTTAGACAATGTAATTCACTGGAAGAGTTTGTTTTGAAAATACTTAGGATTGATCTCTCTGAGTGGTTAGCATCAGAGAGTGTAGTTTTAAGGACTTTTTAGGTTGCAGTATGTCATAGCAGTTGTGGAAATATTTCTTCCCTTTCTGATTCTACCTTATCTAAATTACAAAGAAACAGGGTAATTATATGAGATCATGATTCTAGAATAACTTGTGCTGAAACTGTGCAGTCTTAGGCACCAAATAGTACTGCTTTGTCTGTATGCCTGATTACATTTCTGCTTAGTCCAACAGTTGAGATAAAGAATTTATGCAGATGGCATTTCTTTTACAGATGTGGACACCAATTTATTAAGTGTTTCAGGTAGGTGATGCACAATCCACATTTCAGTTAACTCGCTGGAAAACTATAAACCAATTTTAAATTTAAAATTTAAATTTAAAAGTAAATTTATGAAATCCTTAAGTTGGTTCAAACTGCCAGGTAGTTACAGTATTTTTAATGTTATATGAAGCACCATAAAGGTTGTCCTGCTGTCCTTTTGAGTGATGGGCTAAGCTTCCTGTGCTAGATTTTAGCAAGCTGCTTCAAACATTACGTTTTTTTAAGCAGCAGGCTTATTTTCAGAACAGTGTAGATTGATGGGTAAATACTGAATTTCAGCTGAAAAGCAGAGAAACAAAACCAAAAATTGGTGTAACAAAACGTCGTCTAAAGGGTAAGAGACTTCAGAGATCTGATGCCAATGCATTTTAGCTAGAACTGGAAATTTAAAGCTAAGAGAACAAGTAATGTTTAGATTCCAAATATTTGTGTGGAATACCCAAAGAACTGTCTTACTGTGTAAATCGCAAACTCCATCCTCCAAAAAAATCCAATGTCCACATCTGAACATAGATGAACTTCAGCTGTAACTCTTAAAATTTATGTAGTATTCAGCAGAAGTAATATATTTTCACATTCACTTTTGTGACTGTTGGCTCTCCAGATGTTTCACTGTTTTCATTCTTCTTAAAAGCAAACAACAGAATGAATAATAACCTGAATTGCAGCTCAGGGCTCTTGAATTTAGAGAACTATTGGAAAAAAAAAATTGGACCAAGAGTCCTTTATTTTTCTATGAAAGCATTTAAAGTAGGTCACCATCTTCATTGTAACCCTCATTTTACAACACATGCTTAGAAATCTACTTTCTGTGAATTAAGCAATGCTCATAGAGCAGCGTGTGCCAGTTTTTGATAGATTATTGTTTTGAAAGGCAATCACTTAGCAAAAGACTGGCAGTAATTGAAAGTAGCTTTTGAAGTTAATTGATAAAAATTATCTTTACTGTGACAACTGTTTTTCTTATAAAAACAACAACAGATTAAAAAGCTGCCTGTTTGCCTCCATATTTGTACTTGATACACTTAATAGCGTGTTAGCAGAATTTTTTTACAGTTGCAAATTGTTTTGTTTTTAAAGACAAAAGGAGACCAGTTTTGAAGTGCTGTTAGAAGAACAGTGAACACCCACATATGAATTTAATTTTTTTTGAAGAAATGCATCGTGAACAGTTTTTACAGAATGACTCTATATACAACAAAAATATATAATGTCAGTGAAAATATGCATATATTTAACTACTAATTTTTAATCTGTAACATTAAAGAATTTTTGGTCTTGAGCAGATCCCAGACTAAATCTTGCACTGTGAGTGGAAACTGTAGTGCGTACTGTAATAAGCTTAATGGAATAGCCAAATATAGGCAGTTCTTTTGGCTTGAAATTCCTGTCTTTTAACTGAAACAGTAGAAATTAAGTATATTAATAAAAGTGGAACCAAGGGAGAACTTCTTTCAGTTTCCTTTTTACATCTTCCATGTGGTGCACAGATGCTAATGTAAAAGCAGAAGTCCTTGGCTTCTCATTTTCCTGGGTACCTTATGTATAGTGATCTGCATAGCTATAATGTGATCTCCATTTCTTGCAAAGAGTTTGTTTTGTTTTCTTAAGTACTAAAAAGAGGCTGGATTTAGTAGTATCTTAGTACCAAGGCTCATCTGATGCTGATCTGATACAGGATTATAACAAAGATTATTTATCCAGTTACTACCCTTTGTGCTGAGCTTTATTACAATGTATTTTAGAACACAAATGTATTTCAAAAGCTTATTATAAAACAAGCCAGTATTCCATACCACTAAAAACATGGGGCTTAGAATAGTTTTAAGTTTTAATTTATGTATTTGCATGATTGAACAGTAAATTCTACTGAGCAGTAGAGTGCCACGTACCTCTTGTTTTTGGAATTCTGTATTGTGTCATAAGAGGCTTAACATTATCACAGGTAATTTAATAAAGAAAAGAGTTTTAGTTCTGTTAAGAGTACATATCTGTAGCTGTAGACCAGTACCAGATTCCATTGATCATCTGAACTTAGGTTTTAATTATACACATTTCTGTCATCAGAGAACGTTGCAGGTAGTATTACTCCCATTCACTGTCAGTTTCAGCCAGGAGAGAGATGTGTCAGTGCAGGTGAAAACGTAACAGTTTTCTGTCACCGATTCTATTGGCATTTGCACAGTGTTGCAACCCTGTCTGCACATTGAGACCTCATGTGTGTCTATTCAGTGAGCAATGATGGAAATTACTCTTCTCTACTTTTACTTTTCTCATGTCTCTAAGTACTTGTTGTGCTGGATCTGATAGTCTAAGTTCTGCTTAGATGGTATGTTCATTTCCATTCAAGTGGAGGTCATAGAACGTTCTTGTTAATCTGCAGATGGCAGACATTGACCTAGGCATGATATGAAGGGTCCTGTTTCTTTTGGTACTCTCCTGTCCTTTATCTCTTAATATGCTGAGGGTTTTCCTTTCTTATTCTGACTACTTCTTCACTACAAATTTTGACCTTACTGGAGAAAATTTTCCTTAAACTTTATGCTATTATGAGCAAGAGCTTTTCCTCCTATGCTTGTGAAGTGTCGGTTACTCCTGCAGCTGTCACACTGAAATGGATAGGTATAGATGGAATTCATGATAATGTCCAATTGTTTTGTAATTTTTCATAATGTTTAAGGCTAAACAGGATTTCTTAAAGCTCTTCTGAAATTTTATATTCTGTTTAAAGATACTTTTACAATCTAGAACAGAAGGAGATTTGGTAAAATGTGTTCTGAATTCAAGAAATGCTTTATCTAAATCTAATTAGAGCCACAATCACTCCACAATATCTTTTAAAAGTATAGGGAGTAGAAGAGAGCATCAGGGATGTAAAAGTGAGTACCCTTCCTTATTTTGTAACAAGGTGTCTGTTTTTTGTTTGTTTGTTTTTTTGTTTTGTGTGTTGTTTTTTCCCTTTTTTTTTTTTTTTGCTTTGTTTTCATGCTAATGATTTTCTAAGGCAGCTAAAAGTATCTTTGAGTTACAGTTCATGCTATTCAGGTGATTTGCACATCCCTGACTTCCTGTAGCAGTGATACCCAAAAGATGCTGTTAATGAATATATTGGAGAACACAGCCATATCATGAGCATTGCCGCATTTAGGAGGTTTTCTTACAAGTTATGAAAAAGAAGATGTAACTACTTTTATTGAATCTGCATCTTTGAGACAGGGTGATGGTTATTACTGTAGCGATGTTCTGTGTCAATATTGACAGAGTAGTACTCAATATAATGGAAAGGTGGAATTGGAGAGAGTAGTTCTGTGAAAGACTTGCATGCTGCACATGAATTTTAAATATTATTTTATTACTAGAGTTAGATAAATTAGGCTACAGATCCTTGAATTAGTCTGTGACAATGTTGATAGGCTGGTTGAATCTGGACTAGGGCCGCTATGCCCATGCAAGGGACAAGTTACATCAGAGATCACAGTGCAGGGAGAGTATGGAAGCATGAGAATTCTTGGTTGCATGCTTGAAGCTGGGGTTGAATGAAATTCAGAATATCCATAGGTTTGGAGAAAAATGGAGGCTACTTGAAATGATTCTGATACTGATTCTATGAGATAACTCATGTGCCTGAAGCAAAGGTTAAAGTAAGTCTTAAACTGAATCTTTTTTCCAGTTGGTATAGAAGTCACCAATATATCACACACCTTCAGAAGAACCTTGATATAAATTCTATACCATATGCTTGTGCTCTGAAAGATTCATAGACTATAAACAGGTGGGATGCTATTTCTCAGTATATTTTATTTCTTTAGAGTACCAAGATATTTTGTGAATGAAATCAAGAACTGCTTGCATGTGAAGAAATTAATTTAACAGACTGGCAGCAGTTTTTTAGTGTCTGGTGTACTGTGCTTGGGAGTTTTATGTTCACCGTTGTCTTTAGAGTTGTAAAAACTTGGTGTTGCCTAGCCTCTAGATCTGGAACAGCCTGTTAACCATGTTGAAAACATAAAATTCTACCAAGTTGTAACAAGTACTCCGTGCGTTAAGCTGCAGTGTCAGTGCACCTGACAGAAACATGTCTCGCTGAGGTTTTGTTTGGTTTACTTACATGGTTCTCTAGGTCAGGATTATTAATGCCTTGTGCAGACATGCTTTGCCGTTCTGACTATTGAAAGCATATGCTTTGCCAGTGTGGAAGCGTCAGAACTCTCTAGGATAATAATCTAGTATGGAGAAAAAGAGAGAGAGAAGAGACCTTACTGCTCTCTACAGCTACCTGAAAGGAAGTTGTAGCAAGGTTGATATCTTCTCACAAGTAATAACTGACAGGACAGTAGGAAATGCCCTCAAGCTGCGCGAGAGGAGGTTTAGATTTGACATAGGAAAAATTTCTTTACTGAGAGGTTTGTCAAGCATTGAAACAGGCTGCTCAGGGAACTGGTGGAGTCACCATCCCTGCAGGTATTTAAAAGATGTGTAGATGTGGTGCTTAGGAACATGGTTTACTGGTGGACTTGGCAGTGCTGGTTTAATGGTTGGACCTGATGATCTTAAAGGTCTTTTCCACCCTAAATGATCAAATGATTAATTTCCCAGATTAATGCATGCTATATTTTTAAAACAATAGCTGTTGGGGAAAAAGCTAGAAGACTAGGAGAATAAACAGAAAATAAAAATTATGTTGTGGTATCTTACAAACGGGTAGTACTGTCCTTGCTGAGGTAATTTATAAATATGTCAGGAACATTTCTGTGGCTTAGTGTTTTATTTGTCTACATTTCTATGCCTCTGAAATAGGACTAGAAGAGATCTGAAATATCACTAATTTATTTATCCTCCCTTCTTCATGCTCAGATGACAAGACCAACTTTAGACAGCTTCTGTTTCAGTTGCATCTATTTTTTTTGAATGATCACAATTAGTGTCCAGGTCCTAGTTTTTATGTTACATTGTTAATTGTCTGCACATTTGTTCAGTGATAGTATGTGGGATTTGTTTTGGCTTAAAAGGAAAACCTGTGACAGGTAGGACTGTTATATTGAAGCCAATTGTATGAGGTTTAACAAGGCCAAGTGCCAGGTCCTGCGCTTGGGTCACAGCAACCCCAGGCAACACTCCAGGCTTGGGGAGGAGTGGCTGGAAAGCTGCCTGGTGGGAAAGGACCTGGGGGTGTTGGTGGACAACTAACTGAACATGATCCAACAGTGTGTCCAGGTGGCCAGAAAGGCCAGTGACGTCCTGGCCTGGCTCAGAAACAGTGTGACCAGCAGGAGCAGGGATGTGATTGTGCTCCTGGGCTTGGCACTGATGAGACCACACTCTAAGTGCTCTGTCCAGTTTTGGGCACCACAGGATAAGAAGGACATGGAGGTGCTGGAGAGGATCTGGAGAAGGGCACAAGGCTGGTGAGAGGGCTGGAACACATGTCTCATGAGGAGTGGCTGAGGGAACTGGGGTTGTTTAGTCTAGAGAAGAGAAGACTGAGAGGAGACCTTATTGCTCTCCACAACTACCTGAAAGGAGATTGTAGTGAGGCTGGTGTTGGTCTCTTCTCCCAAGTTACTGATGATAGGATGAGAGGAAATGGCCTCAAGTTGTGCCAGGGGAGGTTTTGATTGGGTATTAGGAAGAATTTCTTCACTGAGAGAGTGGTTAGGCACTGGAACAGGCTGCCCAGAGAGATGGTGGAATCAACATCTCTGGAGCTGTTCAAAAAATGAGTAGCTGTGGCACTTGAGGCTATGGTCTTGTAGGTAGGGAAATGTTGGGATGATGGTTGGACTTGATGATCCTAGAGGTCCTTTCCAACTGTAGTGATTCTATGTTTCTATGATCTGCTGAAGTAATTTAAACCATTTTCATAGTCCCTTTACCTGGGATTATGGGCAGAGGAGCTCTAGCAGCCTTCAGTGGTGTGGCTTGAGAAGTTGCCACTCACAGCTGAAGTTGGCCACTGAAGCCCTTGGTGATTTTACCCTTCAGACAGAACCCGTGCCCACCTCAGCCTGGCTGCGGAAGCTCGGTGTCCGCTCTGCGGTGGCGCGACGGAGGCGTTCACACGGTGACGCTGTATGCGACAGGGCCAGTAGCGGGTAACTGCTAGGGGCTGACATCCCTTACCACTGCTGTTGTTCTTGATGGATGTGTCAGCCTGTGGTCTGAGAATAGAAACTAACAAACCTTGATAGATTTTTTTATTGTGGAAATCTGATCTTTGATTACATTTATTCAAAGATTTTTTCACTGGAAGGAACTAGCATATCTTTAGGTACTAAAGTCAATTTGAAAACTGTTCACAGTTCTGTCCATATTGTCTCAGAAATACTAAATAGAAGTTTTCCTTATCATCTTCGTTTTTTCTTTTCATAGAAAAGCTCTTAACATTTTTCTTTTAAAACTTGGTGAGCAAGAAATATTACTTTTGGAAAACAAGAGATAATTTGTTTTAAAAAGAGATTGATTATCACTACTATTGTTGTAACTTCTTTTGAATTTAAATTGGATATTTTATAAAAATGCTGTTAAGGTAGATTAGTTTGCCAAAGTTAGTTTGTCACATGTATTAATTCTGTCTGATTGTGTCCCATCTGCAGGGTTTTCATTTCTTTCAGTGAGTTGTATGTGCCTGCACCATAGGACATGTGGTGTGTATAGTCACAAAGTGAGGAGGAGACTGTGGTGTTGCTCTGTACAGATTAGTTCATGGAAGATGTCAGCCAGGGAATTGTTTAAGTCTTATGGTACATATATTCTAATAGGCATGCTTTATGATAACCCATATGTCACACTCTATTTTCAAAGACCACTTCTTGATTCAGTTTATACAGACAGCAAGGGTCATTTTCCTTGTGCTTCTAGTCAGTTCTTTTAATTTTTGTTCTGTCTGTTACCCCATATCTTCTTTCCTGCATGCTTTTCACATGCTACTGTAACTGAAGAAATACTTTTTTTGTCATTAATTTGGTGATTAATTATTCTTCCTAACAATTTTTGCCCCTTCTTCTGAAGGAAATATTGGGGAAAAGAGAGTATATTTTTGTTAGCTTTTTATTTTTTTTAAGTACACTGTCATACAGCACCTGCTGCTGAAAATACTCGGGTAAAATACTCGTGTAAAAATATGCTGAAAAGTATGTTGAATATATTCAAATAAAACAGAAATTTTAATTTTAACCATACTCAAAATTTCCTTCTGTTAAGAAGCAAGATGGTCTACCTGCCCCATATTTTTATACCTTCGTGTTCGTGCAAGATTTACCTTCTCTTACAGGTCTATAACAAGGAATTGCCATATGACCAGATTTCTTTTTGAGGCAGCTTGTCTAAGAAGTTGATATTAGATGTCCACTTCAGTTCTTTAAACAGAGAGCACTAGCTGCTTGCTCAGTACTCTTGCTCAGTACTAGCAATTATGTTTTCAATGCAGATGGGTTAATAAAATATATAACAAAAATGCTGACTTTTTTCCCCATTTTCAAAATATTTCTAATAAACATGCCTCTTTGTTTTATCACTTGTTCTGTAATGTAAATCTGTGTTTAGTTTTCATAGTTGAGGGCTCTTTAAGTTTTGTAATGTATTATTTTATGTGGAGTTTCAAATCTAGATTCTTTAAGCACTGTTCCTTGTCTCTTAAATGTGTTTTTTATCAGATTCAGGTAAGATCTGCAGGAAACTCACAGAGTAATAAACTGAAAATACAGATGCCTTGACATCCATGAATAGATGTATGTATATGTTTTTATGCATACATTTGCACACTCAAGCAGGCACCTACTAGGAAAAAATTAAATGCAATTCCTGCCAATATTTTCAGAATAAAAATATCAGGTCTGCCTCTGTTTGTGTATTACCAAGAGCCTTTAACAGTTATTTTTTATGACAAAATTCCACATACTTTGTATGATAATTTTTTTCTTTTTTTTTTTTTTTTTCAAGATTTTAAATTATTGTGCCTCAATGTGAGCACAGCCATATTTGTAGAGTGTTTGTTTTGGTCTGAGTCAACAGGTCAAAAGTGGGCTCGTTTCAATTTACCATGTGAACGTAGAAATAACTATGTAAGACACTCCATTTTTTTGCATATGTGGCTTGGTGATGTATGTGAGTTGTGAACCCTCACACTACAAGCAGTAAAACACTAGCCTTACCTTCAGGGAGTTTTCTAGTTACATCCATCTTCTTGTATAGCACAGTCGGGTGTGAAGGTCGTTATAGGAAGGTGTTTGATTTCTTGTAAAATGTTAGATTTTGCCACAGCAGAAAAAACAAATCAGTAATCTGATTTCATTGGTAACTTCAGTATGTTCATTTGGGGTTTTCTAGATGTTACTTGTGCTTTGAGGTTTTTTTTTATTCTAAGATGCAGAAGTTCCAGAACCTAATATGCAGTTCACTTTACAGTGTAAGAGAACATATCTTGCAGGTAAGATGCTATATTTCATAAGTTTGCTGGATTTCTGCCCTTTCAGAATAGTTGTGTGAATGTTACTTTTATACCTTAAGTTTTCAGGTGGTATACTGTGGGCATTGTAGCGGGTTTATTCTTTTTTCAGGTTTTCTTCCCTCCTCCAAAAAAATGACGGCCGTACACAGACCCTTGTTCAGTGTTTGCTTTTACTGAGTCTAGTCCTGATTGGTTGTGTTTACGTGCCTTACTGTCAGCCCGCTATTAGTTATAGTTTAACTTTCAAGTCTGTATATAATTTCGTTTTATTAATGAAGTACAACAAACAACATTATGAAGCTTTTCTCTTTTAATCTTACAAGGAAAAAAATCGGTATCTAAAAAAGCAATCACAAAGAAGAGGAAAGGTGTCACAAAGTCTACCATACCAGAATTTCAGGTAAATTATTTTAAATTTTGTTTTATGCACTTGAAATCTCAATGTCTGTAAAATAAGTCCTTTAATTTCTGATAGAGACCTTGGAAATCCTAATCAAAGATGAATTTCCTTCTTCCAGATCAAAAGCTTTAATCTGAAAGTGTTGTAAAAAGAGCATTTCACCTTTTCTTGGTAGAGAATGTTTTAGCATTTTTTTGTTCTATGTGGCTTACACTTTCATGGTATTATTTAAGATCTCAGATAAATCTGTTACAGGACAAAACCTGTCAAAACTAGGAGTTGTTATTAAGGTAGATATGATTTTCTGGGATAAAATTACTTGGATTTTATATGATGTGTGACGCTGTGGTCAATGAACTGAAATCTAGCTCAACTTATGGAAGGATTTGCAGAAAATAGGCTTCTGTACTCATCTTGTCTACAATTCTACCCCTTATCTGCACATGACCTTTAGACTAGAGAGCACTGAGAAAAGAGGACTAATTATGGTAATGTATTTTTATGGTACTGTAATAGAAACGTTACAGCACTTCAGTTCTAAGTCACAATTAATGGATGTATGCCTGCTCGGAGTTATCCTTTAGCTATAATTATTATTTTTTTTTTTTTTTCAGAAAATAATCTATGGTATTCTGAGCAACAGACCCACGTTAAATCATGACTGTTCTGTAAAACCCTCACACTGAATCAGTTTATTCCCTGATGATGATGTGTTTCAGGTGCAGCTAGTACAGTTTCTGGTGGTAAAATTAGTAACAGTCAATATTAAGAAAAGACTGATATTTAAGTGTACACTGACTTTTGTCTGTATTCTGATGGTATTGACTCAACTGTTTCCTAGCAGCTCCAACAAAGAGATTACAGTGTCTAAAGATTTTTTCCCAGCACATTATGTGCATGCTGTGGATGTACATAATTAGGTTAGAAATATAATTATTTACAGTATTAGAATACTGCGTTTAAGTAGTAGTAATGTCTAGAACATTATTTGCAAGTTATCCCAACTTTTTATATAACCAAGATAAAGTGTACATTTAAATATCTAAGTGTAAAAGTGAACATTATTAAATTTACCTATGTAAAATGTTAATTAAAATGCAGCAAAGTAATTCTGGCTTTTTAATCAAGCCAGGCTTTATAATCTGTTTTAGGTGAAGCTAAGATCAGTTGGTATAAGCAGTTTAATCTTATTAGGGAACTTTATCAGTTCAACTTGCCTTTTTTGAGAGGACAGGAAGGAATGGCATGACTGTTATAAGTATTTGCAAATATGAAAAGATTTATATTTGGAATACAGCTAAGACTTTTAGAGCCTAGTTTAATGTTTAAAATGTTTTGAGGACACATTTTCTGCTCTCTATCATACTTTCGAAGTCACAGACAAAGCAGTAAAGCATCTTTCAGTAAACATCAGTCTTACCTTGTATGTAATTTCAGATTCTACATTTATTTTTTAGCTGAAGGCTGCTCAAAAAAACCCTCAAACACAACAAAACAAAAAAACTAACCCAAAACAAAATCAGGTGTAAAATAAATTCTTCACCAGATTAAAAAAAAAAACAAACACAAAACTCCATGGTTTTAATATTTTTAAGATTATATGAGAAGTGAGTTTACAGCTTCGTAGATCAGAACTTAGCTGGCTGTTGTGTATTTCCTTTTTAAATAAATTCTGAGTTCCAGGCTTATTACTTATTGTTGCTCATTCATGTTTTGAAGAAAGGGCAGCAACTATATTGCTGTACAGAAGAGACACTAATGAGGGGTTTTTGGTTTCTTTTTGGGTTACAAAGTACATTCAGATTTGGTAACAAATGCCTTGTCTACATCTTTTGTCTTTCACCTCACATGTGTACACATGTAGACTTACATGTACTATAGCTAAGGAAAAAGGTGTTCATGCATTTTAAGGAACTGGGCTAACTTCAGCTTTTCTGTTTAACTGTGTCTTAGCAGTTTCAATTTTGTAAGCTGTGTTCTAAATTAAGTACAGATCTCAAAAAGGGACCGTCTGGATATTTGCTACAGGGAGATGGCAGCAATAAAGGCAGATTTACAGGAAATAAAAGTATAATGTAAAATCATTATAGAAGTAGCCTGAAATTAGACATGAGACCCTACTGAAGTGAGTAAAAATTATGCTAAAAGCTGAGTGCCAAAGGGGGCAAGGACAGAGCATCAGTGATCTGAGGGAGCACCCTGACTTTGTATTTATTAATAGATCCACAAATTTGATTTCTCTATATAATGAGAAATAGTTCATTTATAAACTCTGAGAAATGGATCATAAGAGAGTCGTAGCTTGGTCTTCCTGCCCTTAAAAAACAGGGAGACTTTCCTTCTTGGTGTTCTAGGAGTCATTGAGGGTCTTTGAGAGATTACTGAGATCTGAGATTTTGTCCTAACAGGAAAGATAGCACTTCCCAGATGAACACTGAATTTGAAAATTTTGAATACTGAATACCTGACACTTCTGTTGTATTCAGTTGAAAAACAGGGTGCTTATTGCCAATGAAAATTAAGCCCATATATTGTAAGTACTGTGCCTGGTATGAAAATGTCTGTGTTGTAGTTAGGATGTACATAAATAATAACAAGACTTGAACGGTAATGGAAACATTTGCAACTGGAATCTTTAAGCCACCATGTAGTGTTCTAGAGAATAGGGACTGATCTTTCACTACC